TGCCCGGGCTGGCTTTGAACCGCGATCCTCAGATCTCAGCCTCCTGAGTAGCTAGGATTACAGGCGTGAGCCACCAGCGCCCGGCTCAGAATATATTCTTTAAAAAAAAAAAAAAAAGAATGTCTTCTAGCTAAGCTCTAGCCTTGTCACACTCCCTGAAAATTCCCATTTTCAGACTTTTCTCTCAGAAATAGAGGAAATTTAAGTTCCTTCATGGACACATCTTAGTCTTTTACAGGGATCTTTGAGAACTTGGACTTGTACAGAGATGAATGAGAATGGTGTTCCTCTGTCATTAGGAACTGAAAGAAAACTAGTTTGCCTCTCTCCTTCTCCTGTTTTAGGGTACTACTCTCACCGAGAGACTCTGAATGGCTCCTGGTACATTCAGGACTTGTGCGAGATGCTGGGAAAATACGGCTCCTCCTTAGAGTTCACCGAGCTCCTCACCCTGGTGAACAGGAAGGTGTCTCAGCGCCGAGTGGACTTCTGCAAGGACCTAAGTGCCATTGGCAAGAAGCAGGTGCCGTGCTTTGCCTCCATGCTAACAAAGAAGCTTCATTTCCTGCCCAAAAGCTAGGAAGTAGAGGCTGTTTTATCTATATTCATATTTACCCTTTCTACCTAGATTGAACTGTGTATGGCCTAGCGATTTAAAATGTTTCTGGGTTAGAGTTTAATGCCTAGCAGAGAAGTGCCTTTTTAAAAAAAAAAATAGTTCATGGACATGGCAAAAGGGTTTGAAATGAAGTCCTCAGGAAATACTGTACATACCGATCTATAAGCATTTATAGAGTTGTTTTAGTAAACTGCAAATATAAACAGTAGATATATGCCTGATAGAACTTCCATTTTATATGTAGAATTCATAATGTTTTTCAACAGTTTCATAGCCTAAGAATGATTCCTTTAAGATATTGAGAAGTCATGTTTTATAAATTTAATTCCTGTTGGAAATTGTTTTATAAATTTTGTAATTCATATTCTTGCTCATGTTATTTATGGTGGACTTGTTTTTCTGGGTCAGATGTTTTACTATTACTGTCTCATATACTAAATGATGATTCATAGAATGACTTTTTTTTCTGTGTGTTGAACTCAGGACCTGGTGCTGTCCCTGAGCATTTTTGTGCTCAAGACTAGTGTTTGACTACTTGAACCACAGCACCACAGCACCACTCCCAGTTTTTGAGTGGTTAATTGGAAATAAGAGTCTCACAGAGACTTTTCTGCACGGGATGACTTCGAACTGTGATCCTCAGATCTTAGCCTCCTGAGTACCTAGGATTACAGGCATGAGGCACCGGTGCCAGGCTATATGACTCTTTATACTTTAAAAATTAATGTACAAGCTGGCTGGTGGCTCACACCTGTAATCCTAGGTACTCAGGAGGTTGAGATATGAGGATCACGGTTCAAAGCCAGCCCCAAAGTCTGTGAGACTCTGCTGTCCAGAAGTGGTGTTGGGGTAGAGTGAGAGCCTTGAGCCGAACAGCTCAGGGACAGCGCCTAGGCCCCGAGAGCAAGCCCCATGACTCAGGGACAGCGCCTAGGCCCCAAGAGCAAGCCCCATGACTCAGGGACAGCGCCTAGGCCCCAAGAGCAAGCCCCATGACTGACAACCAGTTTTATGGCATTCTGATAAAATATAGTACATAGTAATTCTTAGGAATCTGTTAGCATCAAGAGCCAACTACACAATTACTGCGTTTTTTTTTTCTTAAGTTAACAAAAGATTGTTCCAAACCACTTCCCAGCATGGCATTTTGGCGAGGGACTGGCTGGGGGGAAGTCTAGGCAGCAGGTACTGCGTGGATGGAGTCCACAGACCCTGTGTAACATGGAAGTCAGGCAAGCCTGTAAACCAGGAGCCTCACGTGAGGACTTCTCACAAGACTTCTGCTTCTCCAGATTTATTAACTCAACTATGAAGCCCCCAAATGTCTTATTTTTAAGTTACAAATGAATACATACAGGAGAAATCCAATGACGCTTAAAAAGGCAAGGATTCAATGAATTCTCCAATAGAGGGCATGGCGGACCCGGTCCAGGGATTCTGTAGCCTGTTGTGGGAAAAAGAAAAGGCATTGTAATCTGACAGAATAAGGGGCAAATGCCAAAATTACATTTTTTTTGGGGGGGGGTGTCCAGTCGTGGGGCCTGAACTCTGGGCCTAGACGCTGTCCCTCAGCTCAAGGCTAGCGCTCTACCACTTGAGCCACAGTGTCACTTCCGGCTTTTTTCTTTTTGCTTATGTGGTGCTGAGGAATTGAACCCAGGGCCTCACGCGTGCAAGGCAAGTGCTCTACCACTGAGCTACCTTCCCAGCCCCCAAATTAATTTTGTATGGTTATTTTTTTCTTTTGACTGTATTGAGGCCCTAGCAAGCACTCTTATCCTTACATTTTGCTTCTTCAGCTCTCTCTCTCTCTACATATATATATATATATATATATATATATATATATAATTTTGTTTTTTTGTTGTGAGGCTTGAACTCATGGCCTGGGCACAGTCTTTGAGCTCTTTTGCCCAAGGCTAAGCACTCTACCACTTTGAGCCACAGCACCACTTGAGTTTTCTGGTGGTTAACTAGAGAGAAAGAATCTCAAAAGCCAGGCACTGGTGCCTCACTCCTGTAATGGTAGCTGTTCAGGAGACTGAGATCTTAGGATCATGGTTCCAAACCAGCCCGGGCAGAAAAGTCCCTGTGAGACTCAAAAACTGGAAGTGGCACTATGGCTCAAGTGGTAGAGCACTAGCCTTGAGCACAAAGAGGCTCAGGGACAGTGCCCAAGCCCTGAGTTCAAGCTCCACAACCGACAAAAAAAATAAAGTTTCACAAGCTTTCCTGCCCAGGCTGGCTTTGACCCATGATCCTCAGGTCTCAGCTTCTTGAGTAGCTAGGATTACAGGTATGAGCCACCAACACCCAGAACAGCTCACATTCTTGATCTCATAAATTACCAGCTTCCTTTTTTCTAGTTAGTTGATTGCCTTGAAAAAAGTGCAGACTGAAGATAACACCCTGTGAAATTACATTCCTTAAGAGGATCTACAAAGTATAATTACCGGTTTCCTAGGCAACAATTATGTATGTCTTTAATTTCAGGGAGGGGTAGTATTGCCCCTCACCCCCCAACACTGACACTATACCACTTAAGCTGCCTACCTCTGTTTCCCTGGGTTTTTGTTTGTTTTGTTTTGTTGTTTGCCAGTCTTGGGGCTTGAACTCAAGGCCTGGGCACTGTCCCACTGTCCCTGAGCTTCTTTTGCTCAAGGTTAGCACTCTACCACTTGAGCCACAGTGCTACTTCTGGCTTTTTCTGTTATGTGGTACTGAGGAATTGAACTCAGGGCTTCATGCATGCTAGGCAAGCACTCTGCCACTAAGCCACATTCACAGCCATGGAGTT